TATGTGACCATTTTAACCAAAAAAGATAAAGATATACAATTTTTTATACCTATCTCCTTCTGTAATTTTTTTACTTATATGGATGGGTGGGGTTCTTTACAGTAAGTGTCTGTGACTTGCAATATATTTCAACAAAAAACAAACAGCATACAGTCCATTTGTTTTAAAATAATATACTAAAACAAGTCAAGCATATATACAAATGTTTGTTACACAGTTCATCACTACAGTTGTATCCAGAGCTTTAAATGATTGTCTCTTTTTTGTCAATGTCCACACAGGCTTGTTCAGTTACTTCAGAACATAATTGACAAAAAGAATTATTCTCCTCTGCTCAGTTGTTAAAATACAATTAGTGATAATTTCACTTATATTACACTGTTGGTTACCACAGTTGTATCCAGAGCTTTAAATAATTGTATCTTTTCAACAAACATCCACATCCACAGAGATTTGACAAATTATTCTTCTCTAATGTGTTCTTATAATACAATATGCAATAGTTTCACTTTAAAAAAATTCACTATACACTCTTTATGGCTAAACTTACAAACAGTCTAGATCTCTCACTAACAGATGTGGGTGGAAAAAGGGAGGAGCACATCTATACAGGAAAAAACAATGGTGGGATAAGGATCTGAACCACCATATAACAAACCTTAATCCTATAGAGTACTGGAATGTGGGTGAAGTCAAAGTATGTGCCCCAAGGTGTAGAGTGGCTAGGGCGAGATGGACCATACAAGGCAAGTCAACTGTATCCAAAACCCAACTGCCAGGAACTGACATTCACATGGGGTAGGATGAGAATCATACCATCAATAAATCAACTACAATCCAAAACCCAGCCATCTGGTGGGGGTAGGAAAGAGAATCATACAGTCTTCACCACAAGTTCAGCAGAACAGAGGGAATCCCGAACCCACAGCTCAGTGAACGGAACACATGATAGCAATGTGATAAATTGTTTGACCAATCTGGAAAACTGGCATCCAGACAATTGGCATAAGAAAGATGTCTCAATAATGGAAATTAACTCACTCAAAACCAATCCATCAGAAACTGCCCTCAGCACAATAACATCCTTGGTATATGAAAATATCAAGGGATAGTGGAAGAAGAAGAACCGTATTAATCTACATGCCCAACCACCGTGACCCACAACACGAGTGGAGGGAACAAGAATATAATTAAGTGAGACAGAGAGACACCTATAAGACATGTAAAAACTTATGTTGATTGGTTCAGCTCTGAATCCAAAACCCAGCCACTGGGAACCAACATCCTTGTGGAGGAATGATGAGGGTTCTCAATCGAAGGGGTGAACTGTATTTTGACAGCTCACTCCAAAGATACAGCATCCCCTCAGATTAATCAATACAGAGATGGAACACCAGATTGGAGAACATTTCGTCATCTACACCTGCAGAATACCACCACCCTATTCTCAACTGAATGGTTGAAGCATTACTTGTATCGTATATCAATATTACATTCAGGAGGATGCCTCCCTGGTCCACCACCCCAGTGACCGAACAGTGGTAAGAACTCCCATACTGCACTGGGAGAAAAAAAGAGGGAGAAAATGCAGTGGAGAGTCCTGAGAAATATCAATACTGGAGACAGTGCAACAGGTAACCACAGAAACCCTATTTTAAAAAGTAGACCATACTTGATATATTCAATCAAAGGCATGGCTGGGATGGGCAGCTATCCCCTTCTGCTTTACACAGGAAGACCATGGGTGAGAACAGTCCAGAAAGCACATATTAATAAAACAAATATATTGCAAAGAAAAACCTACAAGCGATCTTGTGGAACACCCCATCTCAACAGTAAGCGCTATTGCAAAGGAAGGAGGAAGAGAAATACGAGCCTCCAATGAATCCCCCGTAAGATTCTATTGGTTGTCCAGAGCCCACTGAAGAGACCTCATATGGGCTCAACTCAAGAGGATAACGGCTTTTAGACAAGATCACATCTTCAAAAGTGAAAGAACTTCATGAGCTGTAAGAGAGGGAGAAGTAAAGACATAGAGAACTGAAAGCTCCATCAAACAAAGTTGAAAAGGAGAAGGTTGGGCCCAACTAAGATGAGTGTTGAAAAAAGACACCCAGATGGAGAAGATATTGGGTTGGTATGAGGAATGACTTCTCTAATTTGCTTAACCAACCCACACGAGCTGCCTCCAGGAGCAGTAGATGAATGTGATGGGTGGACTCCTGTTCGGAATGAGCTAACAGAAGCCAATCATTCATGTAATGATGTAAGTGCAACCCATGAGCATGCAAATGTCAGGCAAAAGCCTTGAGCACTCAACAAAAGATATATGGGCCAAAGCAAGCCCAAAGGGCAGGGAATAAAATTGATAAATTACTCCATGATGAGCGAACTGAAGATAACTCCTCGACTGACAAGATAAGCATTTGCGACATCCACCTTGGTCATCCACAAACTCGGAGAAAAAGCCCATCTGAGGGTGGGAAAAGACTCCATGGTAAATCACAGTAGAAACAAAAACTGACTGAGGTGGGACAAATCAATCACAGGCCACCAATCCCTGGTTTTCTTGGATACCACAAACAGCCCAGAATAAAAACCTGGAGAAGGATGATTGACTGGGAGAGAAGATCTTGTACCACCTTGGACAGATGTTGACTAGTAGTAGGATCCCAATGCAATGGAAAGGAAACAAGTGCCTGAGACAATGGAGAAGAGGAAAGAAAATGGATGACAAGTCCCATGGATAATACCCAAATAATCCACAGATCTGTGGCAAAAAGGGGAACAAAATTCATCAAGTGATCCCCCACTGGACTGGAACCCATGGGGGAGTCACCAGTACTGTTGGTGACATGTCCATCTGCACTGAATATAATGACGAGATGGGGAACCCTTGGAGGTAGGAACAGGTAAGGGTTGGGAAGAAAATGGATGGGAAACAGTAAATGGGGCAGATATAAGCTCTGAATGAGATGAACGATCCAACAAAGAAGAAAGGGTAGTTTGTTGTTGCACCGATTCTCTGCAGTATTCCAAAGTCTCAGGAATATTACCAAAAACATACTGCTGTAGAATAGGTGCCATACATAAGTCAAGAGATAAGTAATGGAGCCTGGGACAAAGCAGCATACCTCTCCAGGAGATCCCAACAACAGAGAAACCACATGTGTAAGGATAGAGCCAAAGAAGACAAACATTCAAATGTAGAGGTAATCAAGGAGAAGCTATTCCTCGAAAAACCCTCAGGATCTCTATGGATTGCCTCGGAAAGAAGGTGGATGGAAGACAAGTACCATAGGAGAGTCAACAGAGTAAGATGAAGGAAGAAAATTGAGCATGGGATAAACAAACAGGATGATCAGGGTCCACTCCCCACATGGGCAAAATCAATTATAACTGTTGAGAACCGAGAAACAGACATTCAGCTTGATGGTAGATCAAAGCAAACTGATCTAAAGCACATGGAGGGCAAGGCATGGTGGCAACATCAACCATTTGAGAAACAAATCACCCAGCACGAACCCTAGTATCTGGGAAGGGGAAAAACCAAATACTTAGAGGAGGAGGTATCATGTAACAAAGAAGGAAGGGGATCATATGAAATTGGGGAAATGGATAAAACAGAACATACCTGAGAAATCATGTCTAAAAAAGCCATACTCGGCCTAGCTGATTCTGCAATAGGGGCATAGGAAGATGTGGCAAAATCAGGTGAAGGAAAAAGGCTGCCAAAATCCTTGTTGATCCAAACAGGTTTGGCATGTTCAGGAGGAATAGGGGCAAGATCAGGAGAAACAGATTGACTCATATAATGATCAATCTCACAGTGGATGATAGTCGATAAGTCCAAAGACGAATCACCCCCACCTATAGCCTGTGTGTTTGCACTAGTAGAAGGTAGTACCTCCAAAATGGTAACCTGAAGTTCAGAATTCATAGTGAAAGAATGAAATATCAAACACAATCAGTTGATGAGAAAAAAAAATGAAAAACTGGGAAAATAAGTTATTTGAAAAGTCGTTAAATTTTGAAGAAAAAAAAAACAGAAAAAAAAACCAACTTTGGAATAGGATAAAAAAAATACAAAGTTTAACAAAAAAAAACACAATCGAAGAGCGCTACTAAAACATCTTGACATGAGTACTGCGAAACAAGAAGTGATAGTTTGGTAGAATCAAATAGAGGGAGTCATATGCATCAGGAGAGTGTGTCGCACTGTTATTGATGAAGGGTTGTCGTATGATGATTTACACGAGATAAGCAGTTGAACCAGTTGATTGTAAAGTACATGGGAGCTCCAGTTAAAAATTCATGTTTTTTTTCTTCCATGACAATATTTCTTCTATTTCAATATACAGTTGAACCTGTTATTGCCCATTTATTTCCAAATCATTATGAAATACAATGGCTGAAAGAATAATAACTGCATTTAAACTACTTTATTGCAAATGTTACAAGAATTAAATATTTCTTATTTTTCATATACAAGTCCAACTGAATGCTCTGTGCACTATTTGAATGACAAAAAATTAAACTGCCATTGTATTAGATTTTGGTGTATAACCAATAACTAGATTTTGAAGTTAATAATTTTTTATCATAGCCCTACCTTTTTCTGGTCTCTGCACATTTTGAAAGCTTTGTATCACATCATATTTTAAGTGTAGTATGTTACATTAGAAATATGTTTAATACTTTCTTTTGTACAAGTTCTACTTAATATATAATAAAACTTATTTTTGAGCTCTGAAAAAAATAACAGTCATTTTAAAAGGATATATATATGTGTTTTGAATCAATTATACAAGGACTTTTTATTAGGTAATGTTTCAACTGTCCTCTTGTGGTTGTCACCATGTGTAATTAAGTTTAAGACACTGATGACAGTGATTTAACTCATTTCCAAAATAATAATAAATTTTCTAAGTGTACTACTATGCTTATGCTTGTTATAATTTTTTTTTACTGCTAACACTTTTAAAACATTGAAAACTTACCCGCCAACAAATACTTCGAAATACACAACTTCTCAGTTGTCCTTTGAGCCCAATATTTCTTAACTTCTCAAGATAAAACTTGTTACCAAAGAGTTCTTCCCATTCATCACTATTAATAAAAACATTTTGTATAACTTCACAATTACAATCATGTAAAAAGTTTTAACATTACACAAATACAAAATGTCAGAATTGCTTTCTGTTGATTAAATTCCAAAAGACTGCAACAGCATTTGCTGTATGTATATTTATAATTACATTTTAAGTATATACTTAATGAAATTATAGGTCTTTTCAAGGTGTTTTACAAATAAAAAATTCACACATACCAATGTAAATGTATACTTGAAAATATTTTTCTTTTACCTCTTAATATCACCCTTATAACCAGTTATTCATATCAAATATATTTGTACAATAAAAACATAAGGGTTTTTAAAAACTTTTAAAAGTACTGAAACATTTTTTAATAAATTCAAAGTAAAACTAATTTTCGGGAATATTTAAATAAGGAACTTGTTTTTCTCAAAAGCCTAATTCATATCTTAACCCTTGTTTAGGGGCTTTTTTTTGTCAAAACATCAAATTCTACCAACAAGTTGTCATTCTTCATTATACATGTTTTCAATTTAAAATATATGATCAAAGCTTCTGTTAAAAAATTTTCAAAATGTTAAATGCTTTGCAAAATTGTTGTAACTACATTTCTGACTTAATTCATACACAAATCCTAATACATACTTGTACGAGGCAGCTGTTTTTTGCCCTTTCACTTTTTCACCATTTTCATCCATTGGTCCAGATAGATTTTTAGGAACTGCAAAAACTGCTTACTTGCTGACCTTAGTTTCAGTACGTATCCAAATAATGTTTACTGTAAGGAGAAAAATAAATATAATCTTTGGATGAATCTCACTAAATTTAGACTGAAAATATCAAATAAATAAAGCATTACTGAATGACCTTGAGCTAAACTTTCATAATACACAAAAATGTATAGATGTGTCAACAATTACTTGTTTCTTAAAAATGGAAACCCAAAGGTTTAAATATCTTAGCATCCAAGGCCCCCAGGATGAGAAATAATGAACATTCAACTATCCAATTTAATATTTTTGCCAAGGCATAGCAGCTCATAGAATGGCTCTAAGTTCAAGTACTAGCTTTTAGCCAATAGCTCCATCTCTTGACCAATTTGAAATGTAATGACAGCCCCAGCTATTGAGGATTCCCTTTAATTTATACCTTATGTACTGAAAACAATTATGATTCTTTAGTATATGAAGATTAAACTAGCTTTCATACCTTTTTAAGTTTGACCATGTGTAACAGGTATTAAAATTGTGTATTTATTTATTTATATGTCAGAAGTATTTAGCATCAGCCAAAACACAGGCTATCTTCCAACAGTGGGATCCTGCTAATATTCTGATGCATAAATAATTTGATTTCATATTATAAGGTATAACAGAAACATCAAAATTAATAAGATTACATTTTGTAAAGGAAGATTTCCCTACTCAGTGACATGTTATAGATTTAAAAGGGTGGGGGGTTGAATTTAACTATAAAAGGTTCAATATCCATAAAAGTTGTGATATAGCATGTATATGATATAATGCTCACAGTTTGTAAGGTACAACAAAAGCATGAAGTGGGTTTTATTTGAGAACTTAAGACTAGCATGCACATTTAGAAAAGCTAGCAGTGAAGATAAACAACTTGTATGTAGAGTTTGTAGGATGGAGGAAAAATTGAAGGCTATCCTAAACAGGATAGGGGTATTGGATAAAGAAAATGGTAAACTATGTGAAACAGCAACAGGATTTAAAAAGGATATTAAGTTTTTGCATGCAAACGATACAATGACTAATGATGAATTCCAAGAAGTTAAAAACAGTACTAACAGGGCTAGTAGTAGTGGATTTCATTAAAATGAGCAGGTTCTAATATGTAACAGAGTTCAGCCTTTAGCTTGTGCAGATAGGGATAGGAATGAAAAATATATGGAGATTATTGTTATAGTTTATTCTTTAGTAAGAGACTTGGATAAGTGGATACTGTGGGATAAGTAGGAAGAAAATAATTATATTATTTTATCCAGGAGCAGAGTTGCAATGAAACAGTAAAGAGTGCAAGTGGTGATGCAGTCTTTGTAGTGAAGTAGGAGTTAAAGATACAGGAAAGAGTAAATGAGAGGAGCTTAGTGTTAAGTACAAGATATTGATAAAGGTTTTCAACAAAAAGGGCCATAACAACATAATTCTTCCAGTAATACTGCCAATACTTAATCGTGAGGATGAAATTATAAGTAGGTCACTAGGGCTGAAAGGTAGGCTTAAGTTAATAGGTAAGGGCAAAGCAGGTTGGCTGGATGTAATTATGGGAACAGTTATGTGGAAAAAAAGGAGCTTTTCAGAATGGATGGTTTACATTTAAATAATGAATGGGCCAACTTGTTTGCAAGAATTACTAACTTAACTGAAATGGCAACTTTAAACTAGGTCTAAGCAGTGGTAAAAGCCAGAATAATGAGGAAAAATAAAAAAGTAGAGAAAAGTATAGTGTAGGAACAAAGTACAAAAGTAGTTTTAAATGGTACGTCAAATTATAACTCATGTAATGCTAGAAGTATAAGAAATAAAAGGGATTAAAATATTGGTAAGAAAAAAATTCTGATTTGTTGGAATAACTGAAATCTGGTTAAATGTAGACAATTTTGATGACAGGAATGTCTATAACATACAAGAATATAAGTTGTTTAATACTGATAAAGTACTAAAAAGGTGGGAAACAGCAGCATCATATGTAAAATGTGAGTGTATCCTGTTCAAGTTGAGGATATCAAAGCTAACACCAATGTGATTGAGGTTTTATGGGTTTCTGATAGTGGTAATAAGGAGAGATGGCTTTTAGTTTGACATTTGTTAGAGACCACCAGATGAAACTAATGAGAAACTAACAGTGAGATAAAGAATTCAGCTGTTAATGAGGTTATAATTTTAGGAGATTTTAATTTCAGGTACATAGGCTTGGAAATGTTAGTGTCAAATCATAAGGGAGACAGGATTTTAGAAACTGTTCAGGATAGTTTTCTCCACCAAATCATTAGGGAATCTACAAGATACAATGCTATTTTGACATTTAATGTTAACTTCTAATACAGAAATGGGTGACAGGGTGGTGATTAGACAAGTGATCATTGTTCAATTAGATTTGCATATGGAGTTAAAGAATAATAATATTTTAGTTACAAATTTTTAAAAAGATGAGAGCTGGAGCACAACATCACCATCCGGGTCCCACCACACGAAAGTGGATTGCTTCTGTGAAAGATACGCAACCTCACCTTCTGGGTCCAACTGCATGAAAGTGAATTGCTTCAAGAAAATATACACAACCTCCATCTCTGGATAGAACCACACAGAAGATGGGCATAAAACAAACTCCAGAAAACATCACATGAAGGTGAAGTATATGATTGGAGGATGAAAATCCATCTACACCAGCAGAAAATCACCATCCTACTGAATGGAAGTGCTCACATTCAGAAGGACTCCTCCATGTTCCTCCACCCCAATGGCTCAGAACTGGAAAGTGGCAAGGACTCTCATACTCCACTAGAAGAACAAGGGGAGTCAAAATTCAGCAAAGAATCCAAAGGAATGCCAACACCAGAGACAGTACAATGGGTAACTGCAAAAAACCCTATATTGAAAAGCAGACCGACGCTGAATTTTTCAATTGAAGAGATGGCAGGGATGGGCAACTATCCCCTTCTGCTTTACCCATGCAAGTCCATGGGTTAGTATGGTCAGGAATGGGAATATTCATGAAGTAAATATTTCATGAGGAAAAACTACTAGTGATCTTGTGGAACACCATAACTCAACAGTGTGCATTACTGGCCTTGGGTTTACATCTTGGCTGTACAGTACAGATTTGAGAAATAGATTGCATATCTGGACAGGCAATGCTCTCCACTCAGAGGGATCCTAAGCCTAAATGGGACATGCCACTAGAAGAAAAAAATATATTGAAAAAAAATGTAACTAACCCAGCAGCACCCACACTGAAGTTTGAAGGATGCAACAGGCAATGAATGTATGCAGTATACTTCACATGCTCAACTGAAGAATTTCCTCTGAATTATGGAGGTGAGATGCCAGGGAAAAGGTAAGGTGCCTGATCTGATGTGACAACACCTGGAACAGATTTTGGTGCCGAAGCAAGACCAAAAGGGAAGGAGCAAAACTGATACACGATCGTGAAGTGAACAAACCAAAGATAGCAACTGGACTGACAAGAAATAGGAATATGGAGATAAAGACATCTACCTCATCATCAAGCAATATTGCACCTCAGTATGAGAAAGGACTCCATGGTAAAGCAGGGAAAATTTTAGGCAGGACAGATCAATCACAAGATGCCAGTCCCTGGTTTTCTTGGGCATGACAAAAAGCCTGGAGTTAAAGTATGGGGAAGCCTGGCTGACGGGCTTAATAACTCTCTGTGATAGAAGAATCTGCACAGCCTCAGATAGACACTGACTGGTAGCAGGATCCCAAGGGAACGGGATGGATATTTGTACAGGAGACAACAGGGGTGGGGGGTGACAAAACTGGCCAAATGCACCCTCACTGATAAAAAAAAAACCTGTAATTGCTGATGATGATGAATCCAATGTCGTGTGGCACTACGAAATGTCGAACCTCTAGTGGTAGGAACTGGTAAAGGACAAGAAACGGCCATGCGTGAGGGCATGGGATCAGATGAAGACAAACGAGCAACCAAAGACAAAAGGGTCAAATGTTGTCTCATAGATTCCACATGTGATTCCAAAGAGTCAGAAATATCTCCAAAAACAGACCGATGGAGAAAAGAAGCCATCCATAAGTCACAAAGATAAGTGGAAGGCAGATGAACTTGTGACAAGATAGCATCCCTCCCAATAAGATTCCAACAGCAAAGAAACCACATATGAAGGAATAGGGCTGAGGATAACAATCGCACCAACCTGGAGGTAATAAGGGAAAGGGTATCTCCTGAAAACCCCTCAGGGGATTGGTGGAATGCCTCAGAAAAGAAGTATATAGTGAACAAGTACCATAAGAGAGCTTTAAGGGTAAGATGAAGGTGGAAAAATTGGCCGTGAGAGAAACAGATAGTATTGTCAGGGTCAGCCCACCACACTGTCAAAAGTGACTCCAACTGCTGGAAGTTGAAAAATGGTTGATCAGCCTGATGATAAGCCAAAGTATAATGATCAGATTCCCGTGGAGGTTGAGGTATGCTACCACCACCTGTCAAATAAGAAATGAAATGCTCAGCATGAACCCTGAAGTCAGAATGAGGAGGGAAAACAAGGTACTCTAAGGATGAGGTGTCATGTAACAAGGAAGGAATAGGATCACAGGAAATTTTTGAAACTGATAAATCAGAACACATTTGAGAAGTCATACCTAAAAAAGCTGAGTTAGGCCTGGCAGATTCCACAGGAGATGCATGGAAAGGCACGGCATAGTTAGGTGAAGGAAAAAGGCTGTCAAAATTCTCCTTGTCATGAATAGGCTCATAAGATTCAGGAGGAACCTGAACAGTGTTGAGAGAAGGTCAACTCACATAATGACCAATCTCCCGATAATTGATAGCCAAAAAATCCCCCGTTGAAACCTCCCCTGACCTGAAGCTAATGTAACGGTACTTGAAGTAGTGGTAAGAATATTAGAAGTTGTAACACAAACTTCAGAATTCATCTTAAACTGTAAAGAATTCGAAAAGGAAAAAAAATCTATATAAAACGGTAAGTTATTGTGACAAAATACTACAGAAAACCACTGTAGCAAAAGAATAATTAACTTAAATCACTACTTC